AAATTTAAATAGTATAAATCTATAGGAACGGCTATATCGACAGATTTCTGTGGAGAGCAGTATCTTGAAATAAATATGGCGGGATTTTACTGTTTATCTTCTTCAAGTTAGTAGTTCAATCAATATGCAAACAATATCTGTTGTCCGTGTTTTTCCTTTTACCTGCTTATTTATGTACCGTCTATTACTTTTCTGTTGTTAGGGGCACGTTGGGATTCACAGTTCGGGATTCAGAGACTTCTTCTGAAGCCAGAGCTTCTTCTTGTGCCATCGTAGACTCGGGATTTGAACATCCTTCTGAAGGCAAATAATAAAAAATTCCCCAATCTTGTTATTCTTGTGTATCTATTTTGTGATTTTTTTGGGACTCTGGGATTTAGTTGTGATTTGAATTGTTTGGAAGCATGATATTTTCTTCTTTGTTTTTATCACTTGCATTTGTTTTTATCATTTTTGATTCCGTTACCATGGTTCATATTTCTAGTTTAGATCTAAGGGGTTTTTGAAAAAGTTTGGATACATGTGATATTCATGATAATGTGATAATGTCACCTCTCTTATGCAATTGTTTAATTTTCATTTTGCAGGTAATTCTTCTATCATAATCTTGTATTGGAGACTTAATATGGTTTGGTAAAAGCTATCAAATTAAGAGGGTCTGAGAGGTTTTTTTTGTTTACAACTGGTTCCTTCGGCCCATTTTATGTTGTTCATCATCAGTGCAACATGAATGCATTCCTCAAGCAATCCTTGGAATGGATGTGATTTGTCAAGCTAAATCCGGAATGGGAAAAACTGCTGTCTTTGTTCTCTCAACCTTACAGCAGATTGATCCTGTTGCCGGCCAAGTTGCTGCCCTTGTTCTATGTCATACCAGGGAATTAGCATACCAGGTATTTATGGGTTGTTTAATCTGAGGAAAAAAGAACTTGCTATACTTAATGCTATTTTGTAGTGTACCCCATATTTATGTGTACTTGCCAGTTAACTCTTTCAACAATCTGTCTCATGTAGATATGCCATGAGTTTGAGAGGTTCAGTACCTACCTGCCTGATCTCAAGGTTGCTGTCTTCTATGGTGGTGTCAACATTAAAGTTCACAAGGATCTGCTGAAAAACGAGTGCCCTCATATTGTTGTTGGAACGCCTGGAAGAATACTAGCATTGGCCAGGGAGAAGGATCTTTCCTTGAAGAATGTCAGGCATTTTATTTTGGATGAGTGTGATAAGATGCTGGAATCACTGGGTATGTTCGATTGCTCTGTCTCAAATCCTACTTTTATACATCATGTGAATTCAACATGGTTTTAATAATGTCCATTGTGCTTTCTGTAGACATGAGGAGAGATGTGCAAGAGATCTTCAAGATGACTCCTCATGATAAACAGGTTATGATGTTTTCTGCGACACTCAGCAAGGAAATTCGCCCAGTCTGCAAGAAATTTATGCAAGATGTAATGTTCCATGGCCAGTACTACTTGAATTAGAAGTCTCTTTTTGATATTGTCCGCATTCTCTAAGAGCCTCGTTAGACATTTAGGATATAGGATGCTGTGGTTCTGCCTATATTTGCTTTTAGTTGGGGGTCTGTCTGCACAGTGCTTTATTCCGGCCAAATTTTAGGATGTCCAGCTGGGTGAAGTGTGTGATTTGGCGGCAGCAAATGAGGCACGGAGATCATGAGAAGAATGTTTAGTAGTTCAACTCTTCACTCTGTGTTTAGTAGTTTTTTTCTTTTTGTCTGCATTTAAACATTTTTGGGGTCTCTTGAAGCCTGTGCCCGTCAAGTTCGGCCTTTCACAACTTGGGCTGTTCCTTTTTTGCCTCTTCTTTGAGAGTTGGTTTGGGTGCTAGTGTATTCTGGGGTTCTTGCTAGTTGCTGACAATGTACTTGAGTGTGTCAAAGAGTCAGTGGCGCTTGCTTGGCATGAATTAAATAAAGGTTTCTGCAAGGAGACTAAACAGTTGGACCAGAACTGTGATACAAGGGATCTGCATCCATCATTCATTTCCTTCTGGATTCCATTAGCTTGAGGAAGGCCCCTAATATGATTTACTATGACATTTGTTCCTTACAGCCAATGGAAATTTATGTTGATGACGAGGCCAAGTTGACCCTTCATGGACTTGTGCAGGTGGGCTATTTAAATGAAGGATTCATTATTTCCCTTTTTTTAGAAATTTCGTATGAGCTGTAGATGGCTTACATGGATGTTTTAAATGGCAGCACTACATCAAATTGAAAGAGGAAGAGAAGAACCGGAAGTTGAATGACCTTCTTGATGCACTAGACTTCAACCAGGTTGTTATCTTTGTGAAGAGTGTCAGTAGAGCAGCCGAGCTTGACAGACTACTTGTGGAGTGCAACTTCCCATCTATATGCATCCATTCTGGCATGTCACAGGAAGAAAGGTTTGTATCATGAGGATACCAGTGTTAGCTGATAAATTATATGTTGGCTCAGTTGATAAATCAATTGTTCATTGTTGTGTTGATTTTTTTTTAATAACTTGTAAATGATAGTTGTTTTTTTTCAATCCTATTGCATTCAGTTCAAAAGCTGAGAAACTTAGACTGAAATTCCTGAACAGAATCACGTTAGGGCCTTAGATTGGGATGTACTAATCCATGAATACACGAGTAAAGGGTACTGTTCTGTTTGGGAGAGAGGCCTGACTTGTCGAATCATGAATGTGGCTGTGTAACCGTGCAAGGGGTGGTGCCTTTTGGGACCTCCTTCAATCCACTATATTTTTTGCTTTCTCATGATAATCTTGTATCCATTAACTCATAAGGAGGTTCCATTGTGTACTTTTCTGTGGCTTGCTAATTATACGCTTTAGCGCAAGTGGTTCTGTACAGCATGTACTGGTAGCTTGTGAGACTAATCTATTTTATGGTTTTGTAGGTTAAAGCGTTATAAAGGTTTTAAGGAGGGACATAGCAGGATTCTTGTGGCAACAGACTTGGTTGGAAGGGGAATCGACATTGAACGTGTTAACATTGTAATAAACTATGACATGCCTGATTCTGCAGACACCTACTTGCACAGGGTATGATCGGAAAATCTTACATGTTTAAACTTAATATTAGGGCAATAATTTTTCAGAATTTAAATTTCTCTGCTCTTACTTTGCTTGGGTGGGGCTTTGGCCAGGTTGGCAGAGCTGGAAGGTTTGGCACCAAAGGTCTTGCAATTACATTTGTTTCATGTGCTGCTGATGTTGATGTTCTTAACAATGTAAGGGTCATTTTTGAATAACTGCATTAATGATGGGCTCATTGGCGGTTCTAAACTTTCCACGGTGCTATATTTCAGGTTCAGTCAAGGTTCGAAGTTGATATAAAGCAGCTTCCGGAGCAGATTGATACCTCTACATACAGTATGTTCTCTCTTATCTGGAACTTGATTAGCGTGTTGGTCCGTGGAGATTGTCCTGTATTATGTTTTTATGATGATTTGTATACCTGCGCATACTTATTTGCTGTCCCCGTCCTGTTGGTGTGGTATGCATACCTAGAATGAGTATAACATTATATCAATATCGATATTCTATTACTACAACATCAACCTTAAGCCTTGTTCTATCAGGTGAGGTTGGCTATTGCATAAAATTTGCAGCAAGCAGTTGACGCTTGAACTGCTGTTGCTTAAATTGCTTTAATTCCCTGGTTCTCTCCCTGAAACTTAAGATCTGTGTGTATGGAAGGTGGCTTCAAATTCATTTTTTTCCTTTTATAATACTGAGTTCTCAGTTACTTTTAAAGTACAATGTAGAGCTGGTAAAACATGCTTATTTTCCCTTTTCTATAGGGTATTTTTCTTCTTTCCTCCTTACTAGCAGTTGCTATTTTTAGATGCTTAAGTTTCTTGCTTGGTTTCTTTGACATTTTATGCAGTGCCATCATAATGGTATGGGGACGCAACATCACTTCCTTGGATGTCACGATCATGAGTGCTCTTGGAGCAGCAGATGATCCGCCTTGATATCTCGAGTCCTTTGTAGTTTGGTAGACAATCAAGGCCATTCTACTTTAGAGGCTTATCAACATGAGGACTTTGCAGTAATATATGGCTTATACATTTGTGGGGTTTCATTTGCTGTATTGTGTATTATTATGTTGTGTAGATTTGCTCGTATGAGTTACCCTTTTTCGGTTAACTTGTCGCGTTTGAAAAATTTTAGTTTGCGAATTGATATGGTGGCTTAATGAGATACCACATGCTTTTTTGGGTCTTGTACTTTGAAGCATTGTTTGGTTCTGGAATTCTTTTGGGAGTTCTGAGTACAAGCTTCTCTCTCAAGCCTGCCATTTTTGGACAAAGCTCTTTGCGGAAGCAGAATTTCAGGTTTGTTGCCATCTAATTTTTCTTTTGGTTTATTCTGATGAGGATCGTTACGCATTTTGTACTGTAGATTTTTGGTCAAATTGTTACATCATTGTAGTTTGATGTATAAATATGCTGACTCCTTGATACCTATGTCCTTGTCTCCTTAGATCCTATTGATTATTACCACATTATGGTTAGGTCTGTGGCATTTTTCATTAGTGTAAGGGCTCTAATGTGCTTTTAACTATTGGTAAGAAAAATTTAAAGATGAAAAATTGCCTATGGTTGCGTTTCTATGGATTTTAGGATGGATCCAAAAAAATTGCCAAATTTGTTGAAACTGTTACGTGACAGCTAATTTGTGGCGCATTTGTCTTTGGGCCAAAGGCGGGTCGTTTTTAGGTTCTTAGGGAAGGTAGAATAGTTTAATATTCTCTATGTTGAGGAGCAAAAAGATAACTTGTTTTTGTAAAGCTAAAGCCGAAGGGTAATTGGGAGAGTTGTGCTCAATTTTGGTTGAGCGTCTTTTAACAATATGTTGCTGTGGTGATGGACTTGCTCTGGTTGGTGATGTTTGGTAACCAAGGTCGGCAAAGAATAAAAAAAAAGATGTTTGGTGATGAAGATTTTTATCGAAGTTGATCGCAGTTTCAAAAAGTATTTTCTTAATAAAAAAATTGTAAAAACTAATATTTAAAGGCGACGAAAATGTTGGGGGATAAAGTTTGTTTTATCAAAATAATTTAATATCTGACTCATTGATTTGTCTCAATAATTCATTGATGTTACCCGCGATTGGAGTAATGACAGGAACGTATGCGAAGCTCCACTCGGCCGAATGCATTTGTGAAGGAATATGCGCGGATGGTCCATTTAGATAGTCTGCCAATTAAATTCATCATTTTTACAGGCATGTAATTTAATAAAAAGGGGAAAAGAAATACGTATTGTAACCTCTAGTGTTTAGGAAGGGGAAAAACCAATGACAATCCAAATTTATGATCTGTATATGTGAAGAGGAAAAATAGATGTTGCGTTATCTAATCTAGGAAGAAAAGAACATTGTAACAATTTAGATCAAGTCGAGCCAGCGATTAAAAAGCCAAACTAAAATAAAGTAAGCAAATAAACCGAGAAGATCCAAATTCACCTATTTTCTTCCTTAAATATCCCGTGTTCAAGTAGCTGAGGCGACTCGAATATTACCATCATTGTTATGGATTTCTGCTTTAAATTCTTAAGAGAATAATATTTCAATTTTTTTATTAATAATACTCTTCTAGTCCTTAATATATGACCTAATCGTTGAGTTGGTTTTGGTTAAATATAAGATTCGTTTATCATATTTATCAATTTTCTCTAAATTACTCCTATAAATATTCTCTCAACCATAATCAAGACGATGAGGAAAAAGGGGTATTAAGAAAGATAATTATGGTATTTTAAGAAAAATGTGTTACATTTTTTATAATTAACTAACTTACCTAATTTTTTTAATTTAATTAAATTAGTTGAATTGGTCTTTTATAAAGGATCAGAGGAGTAATATTTTAACGACTTCATCCAAACGTAGCCTTGTTATTGAGACAAGTAGCCGCTGACAACAAACTTTCTACTTTTGACTGTGTTTCTGAATTCCGAAATTGATGAGTTGGGCATATTCGCTCGCAGAGATGAGGCTCATGCACGATAATAATTTCACAAATAAACATTAGAGCTATAATTATCTTCTGATTTTTCTAAAGGCAGGCTGGCTAGCTAGCAAGCATTGCTTTCTTATTTTGCCGGGAATGTAATAAATCATATACCATATACACAGCATGTTTAAGTGGGATTTTGTGTTTATGAAGGAATTAAAACCATATCTAAAACAATAAATGAAAGAGTGATGAATTAAAACCAGAATTATTCATTGAACAATCTAAACTTACTGTTGTTTAGGTGAGTTGAACAATCTAAATTTCTTCTTTTGTGAAAGTCAACAGATAATTTAATAAAAAAAAGTCAAAAAGATTATTTTAACCAATACGGGCGATTCAAATTAATTAGGTTATTGCAATTTAACTTAAAATAATGATAAATTTTTTCTTAAAAATTTAAAAATTCATTCCAAGAGTCACATGTAACATCTAATATTTTAATCACTGATATTATACTGCATTAATTATAACCGTCAGTTATATTTGACTTATTAGTAGGTACCCAGCAAACTCACTGCTTTTGACCATGAAATTCTGCTGTTTTGAATTCTGAAATTAATGAGTTTGGCACATATATATACAGACAGAAAAGAAGTTCATGCACGTTATTTAAATTCGTTCACAAATCCCCAGTAACTCATCATGCTGATAATAAAGCTATTATTGGCTAATTATTCATAGTTGAAGTAAAGAGACTTGGCAAAATATATATATTTTTTAAAGGGAAAATCCTAAAAAAGTGACTGTTGAATTTAAAATGACAAATCAGTATTGGTTACTACATTTATAAAGAAAATGACTACACTTACAAAGCAAATAACAACATATTTTTGTAGTAATTCCTGATTTGTCATTTTAAAATTTAACAGTCACTTTTTTGGGATTTTTCTTTTTTTAAATGTAGGTTCTACGTGTAGGTAGATTCATTTCTACAAAAGCAGAGTCTATTATTTTGCTTCTCTCTGTATACTTCACCATGGTGAAATATTTCAGCTGATATCTATCATGAAAACAATTTAAAAAAAAACAAAAAACTACGAGTATATCACTTTTTTTAATTAAAAAAAAGCATTATTTAAATATACCATATGCATATCTACTTTGACCAAAAAAATCATATCTGAGACAATACAAAGAAAAGGTGGTGAATTTAAATAAGAGAATCCGGAGTGTTGGATTTTATTAGATGCAAATGGATTGAAAGGAAGGCATTGAACAAGATCAGAAAAAACAAAAACAGTTTAAGAAAAAAAAAAAAGAAGTTCAAAGTTCAAAGTACATGAAAATAAAGTTAATGCACAGGGAGACACATTTAAACCATGCCCAATAAAAATCAAAGGAGATAATGCATTAATGGCATTAACCACATTAATTAATTACCATAAAATAGAAAATATACAAAATCAGATCCCCCACATTAATACTATTTGCTATGCTCCTTTCAATTCAAGTTCATATAAAAAGGAATGTGTGTGTCCAAAGTCAAAACACACACACACACACACAAACAGCACACACACATATTATGATGCCCATAACTGAAAGTCAGATTCATCTCTTCCACAAGATGGACCGCGAGGTCTTCTGTTGCCTGCTTCTGAAACTATCTCTCGAACCTTCTCAATGTCTTCTCATAATGTCCCTCTGGCTTTGGCTTGAAAACGCAGGGTACCCTAACGTTGTCCCTCAGCTCGTAGGGCTCTCTAATCCTCTCCTCAACGCCATGGCCAAAGAAGCTCAAGCTTGCCTCCAGTGTCTCGAAGACGATAGCCCTCGCATTCCTAGAGGCGGTGGCCTTCCTCTCACATCCACACTCCTCGAAAAGGAAATAACTCTACAGCTTTTTCACCTCAAAAGGTTCACCGCCATCGCCGGAATCAAAAGCGTCCTCAACAACGTCTCCGTCAGAATCTTCTCTGATATATTACACAACGTTCTGAGTATTAATAATATCAGTGGCGGCAGGTCCGGCAACGGGCCGTTGCCGATTCCGGGTTTTCCACACCCGGTGTTCGGGAACGTGACGGTGCCGCCGTTGATGCCGGAGGTGCCGGCGGAGTTGTGGTGGTCTGATGACTTGGAGGACAACGTGTCGTGGAGCAGCAGGCCGTCGGACGACGTGAGGGACGAAGACAAGACGATGTTTCTGACGTTTTCGAGGGGGTTTCCGGTGTCGGAGGCCGAGGTTTTGCAGCTTTTCACGACAAACTTCGGGGAATCGAGCGTGCGGGTGATAAACATGGGAGAACCGGACGCTGCGAACGAGCAGCCGCTGTTCGCGACGATGGTGCTCGATAGTGTGGCCACGGTGGACGAAATTCTGATGGGCAAACGCATCGCCAAGTTCAAGATTAACGGCAAACATATCTGGGCTCGCAAGTACGAGAATCGTGACTGAAGAGGAACCCATAAAACTACATTAAACAAAGCTAAAACAAAACCCACCAAAACTCCTTATATATATATATACACAAGCATATATAAAAATTAAAGGATAAACGTGTATGTCACTGCTTATTTCCTCGTCGGCGATATCGTGAAGCTCTATGAAACGTATAAATAAGTGCAGTGACTGTCAGAGAAAATGGGTTCAAGGGAGGTTTTAATCTGTTCAATGCATTGCGGTGTGTGTTGATTTTTACTCCCTTAAATCTGGTCTATGTCGGTCATTGTACTACTTTAATTTGTCATATATAATGCAATGAAAAGGTTGTAATATATAGAGCCCTTTGTGTAGAGGTAGAGTATCTTCTGACTGTTCTCGCCACCATTCCACTTTCTGCACTAGGTGGCCTGAATTATTACGCACTTGCTCGTTAATATTTAAGCGCTTTATGCAATTCGTTCTGTCCGCACAACTGCTATAATTAATTCTTGGTACTTATTACTAACTACTCAACGTTATTAATTCGTTGTCCGCACAAGTGCTTTATATAAACTCACTGTATAATTCGCTGTACTCAGCATTAAAATACTCATTCAGGATTTCAGGCCCGAAAAGGGTTTTTTATCCCAAATGCTTCTTAATTCTTAAACACACACACACACACATCATATTTATATCGTCGCAACAAAAGGCGACTGGATGCGTTTGCCGGGAGTCGAACCCGGGTCTATTGCTTGGAAGGCAATTATCCTAACCGTTGGACTACAAACGCCTTGATGGAACGAGCCGCTATTTTAATCTAAATTGACCTTCGTAGACAAAAGGCGCTCGCCCTCACTACAGGCTTTTTGTTATTGTGGGACCCAAGAGTTGAGCGAGTCGTGGGGCTCAGCAACAGTCAGCATTCCAGATGCGGCAAATTTCATAAAATTATGCGCGATTAATTTCATGCTATAGATGTGTAAAGGAGATCAAACAATTTGACTATTTTCGGGAGTTAATTTCTCTAAAATATAGCCAAGAAAAAAGTAATCATGTGTAAGAAAGAGGATAGAAGTCATTTTTTGGCCAACATATGGTTAAAAGACTCTTAGGTCAGCGTTTAGCTTTGTGATATGATTATGTCATTATTAAAATATCCATATGTTTACATACTAAAACTAATCTGAATTGATAATGCTACTGTCGATAAGTTCATATTTTAAAATCTACACCCTTTAACTTAAGGAAAAAAATCCTACAAGAGATTTCCTTTTCTCCCCCTATCTACAAGAAAAATCATTCAAAAAGCAGGGATCATTCTTGACGTGTAGTCCAAAGTCATACTTTAAGAGTCTGTTTAGATCAGCGATTAAAAAAGTAGTTTATTGAAAAAATAACTTATAGAGAAGTGAAGTTGGATAAAAGCTAAAATTGGATAAGCTGATTGTGTTTGAATTGTAGTTCAGAAAAACAAGTTTGCAAAAGTGAGATTGGTAAAAGGTTGTTTGGATTATGATTGAGTAAAAGTAAATTTAGTTGTAAAATGACCAAAATGGGTATGGGTTTTAATAAATAATGAAACATGATTAAAAATAATAATTTCACATAATACAATAAAATTAAAATAATTTAATATGAAGAAGTCAAATTTAACGAGTGAATTAAATTTTAAAACTTTAGAGAAATCATAAAAAATATTTTAAATATAAAGTGAAACATGGAAAAAAATGAATTGAGATAATACAATAAATTTAAATTAATTTAATATGAAAAACGAAATTAATTGAGTGAATTAAATTTTAAATTTAAATTTTTAGAAAAATCATAAAAATATTTCTTCGATTCTAAATATAAGACCCTTTTAAAAGTAATTTAAATATAAAGTGAAACATAAAAAAAAACGAAAAAAAAACGACAGAGGACGTGGAAGAGGTCTCAGAGCCTGAGGTGAAGAAAAAAACTAAGGAAGTGAAATGGGTTAGTATGGCCGAAGTCCGAGAAAAATTAAAGCTCTGACACATGTGCAACAGTGAAAAAGCAGAATAAGCTCGAAAATAAGCTAAAAATGCAACTTCTTCCCCAACGCTGGTCTAACAGCTTAAAACAGATAAACTCATTTTGGATTTAAGCCCAACCAAACGGATGACCATCTTACACTCGGGCTTGCAACAAAAATGAGCTACTTTTCACCTCAAATAAACCCAACCAAACAGGCTAAGTCGTACAGCTATCAGGTCATGGCAAACGGAACCAACAAAACAAAACAAAAAGGGAAAGAAAACATGAACAGATATAGAACTCCACACAACTTAATAGTTTGGCATGGGCCTCGTGTGAGAGCACATTAGCCCAGGAGATAGTTTGGCACTTAGGCTGGGCCCAAATGTGCCCAAAATGAAGTGTTGACAACGAAATTAAATTAAATTAAATTCTATTGAAAAAAACAGAGAATTGAATTAAATTAATAGGTTTTAGTATTTATCACGTATTGAAAACTCATCCAAACCTCACTTATATACTATATCCGATTCTTAATATAAGATTCTGTTTGACTTTTGCTTTGGTTCTAAATATATGACCCCAATCCACTTTCTCTGTCATATTTACGCATTTTTTCTAAGTTAGTCCTTCTAATAATTGTAGTTCTAACCAATATAGTTGATTGGTAGGGATATTTTAGAAAAGACAGCACTTATTTATTACAAATAACTAACTTAACTTCTTTTCTTAATCTCTTCAAATTAGTTAATTGGGTTTTATAATTAGAACCGGAAGTAGTATAATATTATGTCAGGTTTTAATTAAAAGATTTTGTTTATCATTTATAAAACTGTAAATAAGATTTTATAATTAAAATAAGTAATTGAAAAAAGAAGAAGAGCTTTTTGATGGGAAAAAGCCGTCGGTGTTAGAGAGAGGGGTGGTGCTGTGGTGGGTCACCTACTTCCACGAAATTAATGCACACAGTCGCTCTAATGAATGGGATCTCTCTCCGTTAATTAGTTGGCGGATGTGGGCATCATGTTATTTCAACCCAAAAAAAAAAAAAGGAAAGAAAGTAATGCGTGCCACTTAAAGAGCACGTGCCTTACGTGGCCCATCATTAGGAGCTGCATCTAACTACAGATCGTTGATGCCGCGCGAAGCCCTTCAGTGATTTTGCAACGCTACCCCTCTATTAATCAGCGGCATTTTTAGATATGTTAGAGTGTTTTTATTCTAATATATATGATTAATAAGAATGTTCTAGAAAAAACAATACTAATTTATTATACATAACTAACTAAATTAAATTTTTTAATATTTATAAATTATTTATTTAATTATTATGTTAAACGACTAAAAGTAATATAGTAGTTTATCATTTCTTATTTACCTCAACATTCTCTCAACGACTCCTTCATATTTGGTTAGCCAGAATTATATTTTCGTAATAAGTGAATTGATTGAGTTCGAGATTCTCGTTCATGAACACTGATGTTCACTGCGTCACTTGATGGCTCGCAGATGCCACAAAAGTAATCAGCGTGAACAATAGTGGCCGCGGATCTACTTTTCAAGCCAATGGGATAATATTAATAACTTAACCTTCATACATAATACTTAAAAGACCTGTATTTAATTTTTTTATGTAATTATCTGATTTGCAGCATGTACGTAAGTTTTTATAACATATGCTTTGATGCGTGTCTTTCAATTGTGAGTGCACCCAAATCCAAAGCATCCAGTGTTCTAAGCATTTTTGCATGCATTAATTTTCTCTTATATCTGTTGACACTGAAACTGGATGTTGGAAAAGAATGAGTTAACTTTATTATTGACGGGAAAGAGTGTATATATACAAGTGAGTTAGTGAGCCTGAGACTATCTACATAACAAACTGTAACTAACTCTTAACAATATAAATTACTCCTCCGGTCCTAATTATAAGACCCAATTGACTTATTTGAAGAGATTAAGGAAGTAAGTTAAGTTGGTTATTTATAATAAATAAGTGTTGTTATTCCTAAAATGTCCTTGCTAATTAAGTATATTAGCTAAAACTATCATTATTAGAAGGATTATCTTGGAAAAAAATGCATAAATATAAAAGAGAAAATGGATTGGGTCTTATAATTAGGACCAAATAAAAAGTCAAATTGAGTCTTATAATAAGAACCGGAGGAGTATTTAACAAAATATCTATGTTACACTTGACAGACACTGAATGCAAGAATAGGTGTGGTGCTTATTCAAAAAAAAAAGTCTAGACATCATTTGAGGTAGTTTTGTATGAGTAGAGAAAGCCTTTGAAAGTGAGGATATATCAACAGTTTGGAATTATTTAAAAAATGACAAAAAAAAAAGAAGAAAACATCCAGTGAGTTCATTGAACGAGAACTTTTGATTAATAACCCATCTAAAGATTTAATTGTAAATGGAATACAACAACAACGACCCCCACATAGTGTAATGAGACTTGTTGTCGTATCTATTGACACCAATATTTTTTTTTTCCTTTTTCTTAATTTGTTCATGCTGCTTGAATAAACGAAAGAAAGGAGAATTCCTAAAAAAATATTTTAAAATTTTAAATTTTTAAATCAGTCTTGTTTACCATATTCTAATAACAATCGATAACATTTGAAAAGCAAATGACAGAGTATTTTTTTAGTCATTCCTGATTTGAAATTTTAAAATTTTAGAGGTATTTTTTATAATTTTTTTAAAAAAAAGAAAGAAAAGGAAGCCAAAAAAAAAGAAGATATTTGCTTGTATGATCTTCCAAAAGTTCATATTTCATATAACAATACTTTGTAAAGTCGTGGTATGAAAAAAAAAAAACAGAAAGGTTTTGGCCAAAAAAGAAAAAGAAAAAGAGAGGAGATAAATACTCTAATTGAACCAGCAATACTTAGAATCTGATTCAACTAATAGCTATATAAGCAAGGAAAAAAGAGGAAATGAGATATTCATCTGCAATCCATAATTAAATTAAATTCCAAGTATATATACAGTCCCAAGAATTGAATATGCATGATTCTGTGTCC